TCTAAAGCTGAAAAGTACTTCTAATTTTGAATCCCATACTATACATAGACAGTAATGTGATAAATTACAGAAGGACTTTGACCTCTCTTTAAACTCTCAAAAATATTTTCTTAAAGTGGAAGATGTGATAGTATAAGGAAATACTGGGAGAAATTAGGACAGAAAAGAGATGCAACTTGTAAAATGAATAAAAGAAATACATACTTCAATATGAAGGAAACCAAGGCAGAGATCACCATGACTTAAGATATTTTACAGGTAAATAAAGAGATCAAGTGACAAGTAACATGTAATACCCTTCAAGTCCGATGAAATCTTATCTAATTGAAATGTCTCTCTCTGCATCCTATAAGGATCCTACTTAGTTTTCATTGGCCTAGGTTACTGATTCCCTTCCTTTGAATAGCATATGCTTGTCATTCCAGATTGTGGAATATTATCTTCCTTGGAGGAAAGCATCTAACATTATTAAAATTTCCCACTTGGCTGCAAACACCTAGATATTTTCTGTTTAAATTGTTTACATTTTCTATGTTATTTAAGCTATCAGAGGCAGAAGGTGGGGCAATTTCACTTCTAGAATATTTACAGTGACATTTTCCAAACTAAAGATATGGATAGATACATAGTTTTTTTAATAAGACAGAATATTTAAAATACAGACCATACAGACTATTTCACTGCTGTAAGCATGCGCTATTACAATTTTGGAGAATTAAAAACAGCAATATCAACAGCGCTCTTTTCTAACTGCTGCCCTCTGGTGGTGAAAAAGAAAAAGATTTCTTTAAGTTAAAAAGGCTAACCTAAATCACGATGATTTAAATTATTTTAAAATCAGCAGGTAAACATGTTTCGAATAATATTCATATTACTTGTGTATTTTTTTCTAGCACAAAGAATAAAGAGGCACTGATTAATTAACACTTAAAAGTTGTGCCACAATTTAAACAATTTTATTTATGTCTGCCTGTAGAATTATGGTAATGGTAAAGACACCATTATACTGTGGTGAGATCCACGGTGAGTAGGTCTTACTGTGTAAAAAGAAGAGGCTATGATCCTTCACTGACACTTTGGATATTGAGTGCCATTCCCTTTGCTAATTCACTGTGGAGAAACAGAATTAGAGATCTGATCAAACCATACCTGAAACCTGCGCTCTAACTAGACTGACTTTCCAAAAATTTTGAGCCACTGAGTCCCTTTTAATTAATACTTAAGCCAGTTTGAGTCAGGGTTTTCACTCCTGGTAACTGAGAGGATCCTGATTTAACACCTTAAAAGTATTTTATGGATGGATAAATGAATAGAAAAAAAGGTGAATAGATAGATTTGAAGTCTAGAATATAAATTAAAAACACTGGAAAGAGAAAAGGATCATATAAAAGTAATCACGGAACAAAATAGCAGAAAGGCAGAAGAGGATGAGACAAAAGAATTTCAAGTTAATTCAATTACATTTTTGTTCAACATTTCTAAGTTATGATTATGTGCCAGGTCTTTAGCTGGATACCAGGAAAACAGGAAAATAACACACAGATCTTGCTCTCAGAGAACTCAGATTTTAATTAAGAAATTTAGATTTTTTTCTTATAAATAACATTCTTGGAAGTTTAATCAGGCAATAATGTGGTAAACTGTGGAGAGAAAATTGAGGCAGTGTTCTCACTTCAGAAGATAACTATTGCAATAGTGTATCAGTTGATGAAATGTTTCAAAAATTAGTCTTCTTTCCCATATCATGATCCTGTTGTTCCTAAAAATAAGAGCATCTAAAATTAATATTTTCAGAAGGCTGTTATTATTTTTAGTTTTCTTTTTGTCCCTGTTTTTCTGTTAATTTCCTGTTTTTCACTTTGTTTTAGATTCTTTTAGAGTTTTTCCTCAAACATCTAGGAGTCCTCAGTGGTCCGTTTGTATTCAAGGGCAAGGCACTGTGGGGGCGCCTGGGTGGCTCAGTCGGTTAACTGTCTGGCTCAGGTCATGATCTCAGGGTTGTGAGATGGAGCCCCCTGTTCAGGCTCCATGCTCAGCAGGGAGTCTGCTTGAGATTCTTTCCCTCTGCCACCCCCCCACACCACCTGCTCTCACTCTCTCTTTCATAAATAAATAAATCTTAAAAAAAAAAAAAAGATAAGGCACTATGGGTATCGGGCTTACCAACCAAGATTGATCACACAAAAACTCAACCTTGCAGTTGTGGGCCCTGGATAGCAACCACATCTTTTTTCTTGAGTTGACAAGCTTCTCTATATAGGAGTCCTCCAATCTCTTTCCTAAAGATTACACATCTGGCAACCAGTATTCTAGAAGCTGAGTAGAGAAAGGAACTAGAGATAGAATCTCACTATTCAGTATGCAAATTTTCATTTATCCTCCTGATTTTAGTAAGGCATCTCCCCTCAGACCTCAGCTGTGCCTGCCTTCCTTGAGACCCAGGTCTGTATGATTCACCCTGCAGGGATACATTTCCATATTCTGCAAGGGTGAGGTCTATTTGCCGGTCTCTATGGGCTAAGGTAGGTCTAAATCCTCTTTATATGGAATTGCAGCAAACCATCTGTTTTTAACCCTAGCCCACAATCCTGCTTTCACAGTGACCTGGTCACTTCAGCTCACGAGTTTTTTCCAGGGTTTGCACATGAATCACATTGCCTCTTGTTGGGTTCCCCTGGCAAGGCATTTAAAGTTCATCTTTCCCCACCATCTAGGCCACTTTCCATTTGTCCATCAGGCTTCCATCTTTTAAAATCTTGTTAACATCCTCTAAATATTGGAACCTCCTGTTCCAATCTCTTTATCCTTGGGCATTTTTAACTTAAAAAAAATGCTTTACTAACATTTTAATGAGGTCCTAGGAGAAAATGGACATAAGCTACGTATGTTCAATCATTCGAATTTAATTGCAAATCGGTGTCTATTTTATAGTTTAAAAAAACTCTGTTGAAAACTATGTCCACACAAAAACCTACACATGGATGTTTATGGAGGTTATATATTGCCAAAACTTAGAAGCAGCCAAGATGTCCTTCAGTAGGTGAAGGGATTGCTAAACTGCAGTACATTCAGACAATGGAAAATTATTCAGCACTAGAAAAGAAATGAACTATCAAGCCATGAAAAGACATGGAAGCACTTTAAATGCATATTATTAAGTGAAAGAAGCCAATTTGAAAAAAGCACATGCTGTATGATTCCAACTATATGACATTCTGGAAAAGGCAAAATTATGGAGAAAGTGAAAAGATCAGTAGTTACCAGGGGTTCTGGAGGCGGGGTACTGGGAGGGGAGGGATGATAAGTGGATCTCAGAGGATTTTTAGGGCAGTGAAAATATGATACCATACTGATGGATACGTGTCATTATACACTGGTCCAAACCCATACAATGTACAACAGCAAGAGTGAACCCTAATATAAACTATAGTCTTTGGGTGAATATGATGTGTCCATGTAGGTCAGTTGTAACAAATGTACCCCTCTAGTTGGAGATGTTGATATCGGGTATGGGGTAGGGAGCATATGCAAATCTCTGTACCTTCCCCTCAATTTTGCTATGAAACTTAAACTCCTCTAAAAAAAAATTAGGTCTTAATATTTTTAAAAAGACTATAGTGTAAACCTTGAAGCAGATCTTGTGTTTCTCTTTTTTAGGGATAGAAAAAAATAACATACTTATCACAGAAACAATTCTAATATTTCAGTTTATACCGTTCTGATCAAGGTTAGCTGAATTCTCCCTAGGGAGGCCTACCTCTCCCCCTTCATCTTAACGAACCTCATTCTTGCTCTTTACACACCATGAACACAGGGCAAGTGTGTTTTTGGGTTAGGACCTGTTCCGGCTTACTATCGTATTATCTTTTTTAAAATTCTCTTAATTATAGGGAACCTGGGTGGCTCAGTCAGTTAAGCATCTGACTCTTGATTTCAGCTCAGGTCATGATCTCAGGGTTGTGAGATCCAGCTCTGCGTCAGGCTCCGTGCTGGGTGTGGAGCCTGCTTGAGGTTCTCTCTCTCCTTCTCCTTCTCCCTCTACTAGTCCCCCAACCTTTCCCTCTTTACCTCTCTCAAAAAGAAAAAAAAGTAAAATTCTCTTCTTTCTAGATCATATCACGACAGAAACTATCTTGTCTAATTTTCTGCTTACGCTCTGATTTAGTTTCCTATTGCTACGGTAACAAGTGAACATAAGCTTAGTGGCTTAAAACGGCATACGTTTATTATCTTAGAGCTCCGTAGCTAGAAGTCTGACACAGGTTTCACCTAAGCTAAGCTGAAGGTGTCAGAAGAGCAACATTCTCCTGGACACTCCAGGGGAGAATGCATTCCTTGTCTTTTCTAGCTTCTGGAAGCTTCCTTCATTTCTTGGTTTGTAGCCCCCAGTCGCCAATCAAATCCCCCTGACCTCTGCTTCTATCATCACATCTCCTCTGATTCTACTGCTTTCCTTTTTCATCCATAAGGACCCTAATGATCATATCAGGTTCACCTGAATAATCCAGCATAATTGCCACATCTCAAGATCCTTAACTATCACATCTGCAAAGTTCCCTTTGCCACAGAAGAAAACATATTCACAGGTTTTGTGGATTTTGGTGAGAACATCTTTCAGTCAATTTGCCTGCCATTGTATCCATTGGTTCTCTGTTTTGTTGTACCTTTCTAAGTCAACTAGAGAAAATTCCTAAGTGACAGAATTGTGCCTATTTTCAATTTTATCCCTGGCACCCAGAATATTCCTGCTACAAAGAAGGTCCTTAGTAGGTTTTTGTTGTTCTTGTTATCTGCTGTTTCTAAAAACATGTTTATTTTCAGTCAACCATATTTTCTTGTTTCTGCATTAGAGTCTATGGAAGAACAGCTTAAGACTACTCAGTGGCCATCCCTATCCATTCAGTGACCTGTGGACCAGTCCCCGGTGGCAGGCTGAGCACTCCCGTCCTCACTAGGGAACTACTGGGTAGGCACAGAGGACACCTGCATGGCTTCAGGCCTCAGACCTCAGGTTGAGTAGCAGTACATTTGCCTTGAAATCCCTCCTTGGTCACAGTCTTTTTGGCAGCAACCTGATCTTCCTTTTCAATCTCTTCAGGATCCCTGTAGAAGTAGAAATCAGGCATGGATGGGTTCTTACAGGGCACCACACATACTCAGAAGTTCTAGGTCAGCATCCACCACATCAGACCCACTGCTGTTGTGCAGAATGGCATGTCCATACAGGGCAGTCTATTCTACATAGAGTGATGTACACAGGTTAGCATAAGACATGTCTTTGAGAGGCTGGTGGCCATCCCTGGGATCAGTAACCATCAAAACATGTGACTCCTGGGAAGCTGCCTGCATCTGGCTAGTGAAGCTTCCAGAAGCCAAGCACCCAACAGTAGGAGTGGTTCTGCTAGCAGCAGCAAACTTCAGCCCATCCCCCTGGCCAGTATTCCTGGAGGATGTGACACTGACATCAGCCACATCTCCCATGGCAACAATGGCATGAGCCAACAGCAGAAGCTGCTTCCAGGTGCTCTTCAGATTTATGGTGTAGATGCCATCACATCACATCACATCACAACACATCACATCACATCACATCACATCACAACACATCACATCACATCACATCACATCACAACACATCACATCACATCACATCACATCACATCACATCACATCACGAATTTCCTTCTGTAGATGTATTTGCAAGTCAATGTTGTTGTCACTTAAGCGAGTTCCTGCTGCAAGAAATTTGAGGCCATCCTTCTTCACTTGCAAGATATCTGGGCTCTGGACATTGTAAACATTTCCCTTTAAGCTAGGACGGAAACCCTGGTCATCGTGCTATAGACAGAGAACTGTTTGGATAACATAGAATGGTTCAGCAGATATTTTTGAATAAATGAGTAATTGGTATTTGAACTTAGAGTTGTTTTCTGAAGAAAGTGAATGGATTTAGTCCTCTCTTATGACATTTGGCTCCTAAGTGGATTCTTGGTCACTAGTCTTTCCCAGGCTCCAGTCCATTTTCCACATCCCTGTGGGACTGCGAGAAGCAACACTCAGATCTCTCCACCAGTTTTTGCAAAATCTTTCAGAACTTCGATCTCAAAAATCATTTCACAGTTCCTCCTGACATCTGCTCGTTGGGCAATAGCTGGTCTGAATCTGCCATTCCAAATTGATTTCCCACTTTTCCTTTTTAGTGTTTTACACACTCCAACAGATTGGAGCCTCCTATTACCCACAAAAGCCCCACTCCTTGCTCTTCTGGCTGTATGCTCACTACCACTCACCCATAATGCCATTGTGCTTGCCTCCATTTACCAGGGCCCAGCATGGCTCATCGTTCCTGACCAGATCAAATGCATGCTCTTTCAGGAAGTTCTTTCCTTTATCCCCTCACTGGAAAGTGAAATCCAGCTCTGTCGTTGGAAGAAATGAACAACCTTGGAGAAGGTAATTAAAACTCATCGAACCTCAGTTTCATTATCTGTTAAATGGAATGAGTTATACCTATCTTTTGTAAATTAAATAGTGCATGTAAACTACCTCTCACAGAGCCTGGCACATGGGAGTAATTATTAATATGATGATGATGATTTATTTAAAACTCTTACACGAAATGTCATTTTCAACCCTGCAGTCTTCGAAAAGGGGGTTCCTATTTTGCATTATGTGCATTTCCCATAACTCTTGCCAGACAGGCAAACGGTAAATAATGTTGAATAGATATAACCTCCTAAACTTTATTACTGGGTTCTGCTTGTGGCAAAGGGTATTGTATTAGTTTCCTAGGGCTATCACAGCAAATTACCACATACTGAGCGGCTTAAAGTAACGGGAATTTATTCTCTCACAGTTTAGGAAGCTAGAAGTCCAAATTCAAAGTGCCAGCAGGGCCGGCTCCTTCCCCGAGGGAGAAATCATCTGTCTGCCTCCTAGCTTCCAGGGGTTTGCGGTAATCCTTGTCTTTTCTTACCCTGTAGGGGGGTCACTTCACTCTCTGCCTCTGTCTTCACACGGCTTTGTCCTCTGTGTCTCTGTGTCCTCTCTTCTTAGAAGGAATTTGGTCATTGGATTTAGGGCCCACTCTAAATTCAGAATGTTTTATCTCAAGGCCCAAATAACGTCACATTCTGAGGTTCAGGTAGACACGTATTTGGAGGAATCACTCTTCAATCCACTACAAGTAAATCCAAGACTCCTTCTTTCTTATAACAAATTGTAATTAAGAATCTAAATTCTAAAACTACACTGCACTGGCCCGGGCCCTGGCCTTTTACCGGATATGTGGCTTTGGTTACATTGCTTAACTATACCCAGTTTCAGCTTCTGGATAAGGGAAATGAGGATAGTAATAATATATATCTTAAAGACCTTCTGTGTGGGGTGCCCAGGTGGCTCAGTTGGTTAAGCATCTGCCTTCGGCTCAGGTCATGGTCCCAGGGTCCTGGGATCAAGCCCCGCATCGGGCTCCCTGCTCAGTGAGGAGTCTGCTTCTCCCTCTGCCTCTCCCCACTGCTGGTTTTTTCTCTCTCTCTCAAATAAATAAAATCTTTAAAAAAGGAGTTTCTGTGTGAACTAAGAGAAATAATCCTTATAAAAGGGCTTAGTATAGCCTGGTTGCTGCTAATCAAGCAGTAAATGTTGGCTTCTTCTTTTATTTATTTATTTATTTTAGTTTTACAAAGCATATCTCTGCCTGGAAAGCTCACACCTCTTCCACTTTTTACCTGATTAATTTCTAAGCATTCGTGTCTCAGCCTAAGGTTTACTTCCATGGGGAGGGATTCTCTGACAGCCTCAGTGAGATCTAATAGTCTGCCATACTCCTTCTTTCAGTCTTTATCACAATCGTATAATGATGAACTATTATAAAACAATATTTGAATGCACTTTAGGGAATTAACATTTGATCCCTGGCTCCCCATGGAGGTATACGCTCCACAGAGACAAGAACTCTGTCCAGTTTGATAGGGACTCAGATGGCCTGGGATGAGGTCCTGGTCCCTTTACTCTTACCCCTTGCCCGAGTTCCTCTGCCTGTGCAAGTCTCTTTCCTCGCTCGAAGTGTCTTTAGCATCATGACTCATCCCAAGCAGTTATTGTGAGGATTAAATGAGATCCTGTACGAAAAACACATAGCTCACAGTGTCTCTCACATGCTAAGGGCTGAAAAATCGCTAATCAGTATTTTGTATTCAGTTCCTGGCACTTAGTTGGTTCAATGAAAGAATGAGCCATGAGCCAGGTTATTGGTCAAATCTAGAAATACAATCTGTGCCACAGAATAGTGTGGCAGTTGAATAGTTTCCAGTGACCTTGTCCTCATCAGAGATTTTCTCTAACGAAAGGAGCTAGAAAGCCCAAGGGAAGAGCTGCCTAACACCACTGCCCCCAAATAATTTTCTTTCTTATAGCCTTTACAATCCCATTTAGAACCGGAATTAAAAAAAAAAAAGGTTCAGAGAATCCAATTTCTTTCTAGCCCTAGGGTGGTCTTTTGGAGATGAAGAAAGGCCTTTGGAAGGGCAGTGAAAAAGATCAGTCTAAGCAAGGCTAGTTCCTTATTAGTGACGTGAGGTTGGACGCAACATGCTTTAGTGTAAGGAGGGACAGAAACTCATCCGGACTTTGCAGCTTTTAATGTGCTTCTCTACAGTCTAGGAGAACAACCACCACGATGCTGTGTGAGTCCAAAAAGGCAGCTTTAAAATTTTAAATAAGATTAGTCACTACCCTAAGTATAAATTGGCATTCCGAAGAGAGATGCCCACTGAAGAGCATGCAACGTTACTTCTGCCCTGCTTTTACAGCAGTAGAGGCAATTTAGTGGTACAATGTTGCCATCGGACTGACCCAGTTTAAAACTCTGATGGAAACGTCATTTTTTTTTTTAATGAGTCATGAAACACACAGGTTTTAAATCTACTTTTTAGGGGCTGACAGTTTGATGGCTGAAGTCATTTATATTTCCTTAAATAGAGGGTGCTAAAACAAGTATATATATATATATATATATATATGTATGTATATGTATATACATATATATATTTCTTTTGCTGAGACTCATAATTTTAGAACTTGAAGATTATTTAGTCATTTTTCAACTATTCATTAAAATTGATTTTTGTGTATTGACCTTATATGCTATGACCTTGCTAAATTCAACTATTAACGCTATTAGCTTTTTAGTTAGGATGTTCTATATATACTCATGCCATCGACAAATAAAGACAGCTTTATTATTTCCTCTCCAATCTCTACGCCCTTTATTTTTTTTATTGCCTTATTACACTCATTAGGACCTTCAGCACAAGGCTGAATAGAAGTGGATTAAAGAAGTGGTTTCGTTCTCAAAAGTTTCCATAGGTTTGATGTTAGTGTAGTTTTTTGTTGATGCCCTTTATCAAGTTGTAAAAATTCTCTTTTGTTACCAGTTTGCTGAGGGTGTTTGTTATGAATGGGTGTTGAATTGTCTTTTTCTTCCTCCAAAATTTTAAGTAACGTGATTGCATGATTTTTCTCCTTTATTCTTTAAATGAGGCTAATGATGTCAATGAACTATTGAATATGAAACCAACTTGCTTTGCCCCTTTAGGATAAACCCCATTTGGTCATGATGTGTTGTAATATTTATATGTTGCTGATTTGGTTTGCTAACATCATTTAAAGATTTTTGTTTCTATCTTCTTAAGGCATAGAAGCCTGTGCTTTTACTTTCTTGTAATATTTCCCTTTGATTTTGCAGAGTAATGCTGGGCTCATAAAATGAGTTGGAAGCAATCTCTCCCTTAAGTCCTTGGATAGACAGGTAGGTGCTAGATATGGAGATATTAGCCAATTTAAAGTCAATAACCAGTAATTTAATCATCTCTGTCATTTCTACATCTCTTTCTGTTGACTTGTTTGACTTCTGTTATGGATCATGGTTTCCCACTTTATTACGTGTCTAATCAATTTTTATTATATGCTGAGCTTTGTAAATGTTACACTGTTGAATGTCTGGATTTTTCTTTCTTCCTTTGAAAACTGTTTTTGAAATGCAATTATATTATTATTAATCCATCTGATTCTCTCATGATGTATTTTTAAGCATTGTTAAGTTTAAGAGTAGCCTATACTCTAGGGCTAATTTAAATCTGTCTCATATGAGACAACTCTAAGGTGTCATACTAAGGTGTGACCTTTCTAGGATCTCTACCGATTGGCACAGGTGTTCACAAGTTCTTCCCACTGTACATAGCCAGAACTCTGCCTTTCCCCCATACTGACATGAGCGTTGAGAACTATTCAGCTTATGGCCATCTGGTTATCATTTGCCTGACCTCACACAAAGTTTAGGAGCTGGCAAGAGAATCAAGGGAAATCAAGATTTCTGGAGCTCTTTCTCTACATAGGTCCTTCCTTTCCAATGGTACATCCTGCCAATATCAGCGTTCCCAGATCCCTGAACCTCAGTATCTGTCCCCTCCACTCAATAAGCCAGGCCCTGCTTGGGCTTCCTCTCCCTATTATTCAGCCTTGAAAGTGCCTCCAGGCAGAGAGTCCAAGGGATAAGAGAGTTCTCTTCATTCCTTTCCCTTCTCTCAAGAAGCCCAAGTTAGTGAGGTCTAGTTGTTTACTCTTTGCGGGCAAGTCCGGGACCAGTTACTAAGTGCACTTCATAAAGCCTTAATAATATCTGAGTATTACATTGGAATTTAATACTCACGTATGTGAGTCCTCTAGCACAAAGTCATGAATAGTGACGCTGATAATTACTGTTCTCCCTCACCTGCCCACCTTTCAGTTCACAGTAGCAATAAATCAATGTTTAGGAAATTATTTAATCACCATGTGTCTGTAAATATACTAAAATCCACTGAATTGTGCACTTTAAATGACTGAGTTGTGAACTATGTATTTATATTTCAATAAAGCTGTTTTTTTTTTTAAATGCATTTGGCTTCTGTTTGCAAACCAAGAGCTGAGCTTAGAGGTGTCACCCATAGAGCTCTTTCAGTGCATAGAAAAAAAAAATCTCAGTTTACTATTTAAAAAACCTTGAGCAATAATGGATTTAGAATTCAGAAAAAGCAATGTATGACAAATCGGAAATCTCACTGCTTTGGAGGATGGTGACAGAAAGATGAAATCAAAAAGAGGAAAGCATATTAATCAGACATGAATTTCAATTTCCCCTTCCTAGGTTTCAGTCCAGAGAGGAATACGTATTCTAATAAGGTGAGGGGATGTAAGCAGATGCCACTGGTACCCTACCCATTGCCCTTCACTCACCTAGAGTTTACTGCAGCTTCTGTGG